ACGGCGCTTACCGATGGCAACTTCCCAGCGCGTTTCACAGGCTGCGCGGGCGCGCGGGCACTTCAATGCGGGTCGGTGACTCGGGCGGGCGCGGTACCATAATGACGCCGACAACGGTGGCAACGATGATCATGGTAGCGATGGTAATGGCGATGATAACGGTGACGACGGCCGGGCTAAAGATGGCGCCGTTGTTGGTGACGACGATGGCGATAATGCTGCCCATGTGTCGATATCGAAGGCGCTTGAATGATGGTGGCACCAATGGCGGCGACTGTCGATGATGATGACGTGCTGCGGCGGCGCTGATGAGGGTGATGGTGAGGAAGTGCGCGCGCGCGGGAATCAAGAAAGCGTCGCAAACCTTTTGTTGAAAAGCACGTGGTTTTCGATGCGTTTGTATTGGAAGAGTGCCATATCGACACGAGTCGACATGCCATGGTTCTGGAAGAATGTCGACACGCGCGCGTGGCGACGCGCGTGCGTGCGGCCAGCATGGTTTGATTTGATCCGGATTCGCGCACTGGGCGCATGCGGGACTAATGCGGACGTACCGCGTGGTGAATGAGAGTGCGGGTTCTGGATGGGGTTCTTATTATGACACGGTCGGCTACGAGTTCAGCAGTGTCCCATGAGGTACCGATCAGTCTCAGGGTGGGAGGGTGGGAGAGTCTATCGTTTTCCCCAATGGGGAACCTTGTGCAGTGCAATGCATGTGGCGTGGGCGCTGTGGCGCAGGCTACGTGATGACATCTACTGCGGGCTATGGCATGTCAGCTGTGCGGTGTAAGCTCCGTGGTGCGTGCCATCCGGTGCGAGCTGCGAGGTGGAAGCACCACGTGGTGCAACCGCTGCAGCGTGAGCTACAGTCGGGGCCCTGAAGAAGGAACGCTTTTCGTTGGGGAGGGGCTCGGTGTTCCTTAAGTGTTTCACAGCTTGCCTCAGGTTTCCCTTCTGTTTTTTCTATCGGAAATCGAGTTTTAACTTCTGGAGAAAAGGGGCCTCGTTCCTTATTTAGGGTTCCTTAGTCAACGCCCCGACTGCAGTGTGAGCTGCGTAGTGCACGCACGAGGCGACCGCGGACGGCAACACGCAGCGAAAAATCTCGGAGGGCCCGCCCAGCGCACCGGGCGCCCGCGGGCGCGGCAGCGTGGCGAAGCTTCGGCGGACGCACCAGCCGCTCGGGGTGCGCCCGCGGGGCGCTCCCGGGCGGCAGCGTGGCGAAAGCCTCGGCGCGCCCCCCCCGCCGCTCGGGGTGCGCCCACGGGGCGCCCACCGGAAGCAGCGCGGCGAAACGGCGATCGAGGGACCCCTCCAGGGGCGCCCCCGTGCGCCGCAGCTGCCGACGCCGCGTTTTTTTATACAAATGCTTTGTTCTGGTTGCCAAGTTTCTGGGCGCGCGCGCGCTCCCCGAAAGCATCACGGTTATGTCGGGCGTGTCCCCCTGCAGGAGGATTTTCTACGAAAAATATAAAATCCCCCAAAAATACTTTCAAAATACCCCAAGAAGGTCAAAAAATATTCAAAACATAGTCCCCAGACTATTTTTGCATTATTTGTTGATTATTTTTGGGGTATTTTTCATTTTTCGTCGAAAATCCCCCTGTAGGGGGACAGGCCCGACTTAACATCACGGGGGGGAGCAAAGAGAAAAACAAATACAAAATGTTGGGCTGGGGCCGTGATCGTCGCGCCCCCGCGACCTCCCTGCCAGATAGCGCCCCGCGGGCGAAAACCGCGCGTCTCCGCGTGCGCACGGAGCAGTTCGAAGCCCAAGGACGGCTCGAGCATTGCAAGGTGATCATGTTTTTATTCATTGCTTTGCCGATCGGCGGGGGCCCTCGCACCCCGCCTCCCCCCCCCCCCTCATCGAGTGGATCTTGTTTGTCTTTTGGCGCCTGCTTCGAGCAGGTGGAGTCTCCCCCATACGACGCACGGTTCCAAACAGTCGCACTCAGCAGAGGTCTGAATTTCTGCGCGCGTTGGTTGTCACACGGTCTTCGTCATCACCATCGCCATAATCATCGCCAGCGTCATCATTGCAATTTTCACCACCGTCGTCAACATCGGAATCGTTATCGTCGTTGTTCCGCCTTCGTCATCAGCGCCGCCATCATCAGAATCATCATCACCCGCCCGCCCGAGTCATGAGTCTGCACGAGATGGGTCCCCGCATCACTGCGCCAATTGAGTGTTGCCTGCAAATTGCGGCTGGGTGGGTGGGGTGTTTGTTCGATCATTGGGCTTGTCGTTTGCATTCTTGCCACACTCATTTGACCCACCGCGACTACACCAGACAGATGGCTCCTCCTGAAGGAGATCCGTCTCTACCCCCACCCCGAGGCCGCGGTTCGGGACCTCCCTCGCACGCTGACGCCTTCGGTTTCTTCTGCACGACACGGCATCGCAGATATCCACCAACAGCATGCCAGCCACTCGGGTGCCGAGCCCCCCCCGTCGCCCGTGTGACAAAAACACAGCGCGGGGCACGTGCGATGACGTCTCCACAGACAGGCGCCGCGCAACAGTCCCCGTGGCATACGGCCGCGCGGGCCATGCGCGCGCGCGCTGCTGCGTGCGGGCGCCCCCGCGCGCGCAGGCCAGCATCGGCTTAGCACGCAGCTACCTGGTGCACTGCCAGTGCCGTGGTACTGCGACTTCCGGCACACGGCCAAGACCTGCGGCGTGCCCAGCACAGAAGTTGGACGGCGTCCGCTCGCGCGCGGCACCTCGCTGTGGACCAGGCGAGAGCCGCAGGCGGTGGACCCTTTTGATGTCGAAGGAGACAGAGCGGGCTGCGCACGCGCGCATGCCGAAAGGAACCATTTCTCATCCGGCACCCGCAAGCGCTGTCAAATGAGACAGCGTGCGGGCCGCGCGCGCGCGTCTCCGCGCGTGCACAGGCGCTGGCAAGCATGCCAGCACGGCTGCGCTCCAACCCAGGCGAAAGCCCCATGCTTTTGTTTGTCGAGAGACGGCAGGAGTTCTGAACTACAGTGCGCGCGCACCTCCTGATCAGCACCATCGTTCTCATCATCGCTTGCGTCACCAGTGCCATCCTCGTCACCATCGAGGTCGTCGATATGATCGCCCTTGTCATCACCGCCACTGCCATCACCTTCATCATCAGCAGCAGCATCATCAGCATCAGCATCAGTATCAGCATCAGCATCAGCATCGTCATCAGCATCAGCAGCATCATCATCAGCATCGTCATCAGCATCAGCATCAGCGTCACCATCGCCATCCTCAGCATCATCAGCACCACCGTAGCCGCCGATGCCGTCCTTACCGTCATCACTCGCCCGCCCGAGCCGTGGATCGGCAGGAGCAGACTCCGCGCGCCACTGCGGCACTCGAGCTTCGCGGGCAAGCCCGGATGGGTACAACTCAGGAGGGGCAACAACACACACACACACACAGAGACACAATGAAACGTCGATCCTCGGGAAAATGTGGAAAAATATGGGGAGGGGGGGGGGGGGGGGAAGCAAGAATCCAGAACATGTAGGAACATGTGGGGAATCCTGTTATTTGTGTGTATGTATTTGTGTGTCCCAGGGCCCCATTCAACAGTCCAGACGCTGAAATGAGGAACAGTTTGGATGCGGAAGGGGCTCGATGTTCCTTGGGTCGGTCCGTGGCTGCTCCTCCGGCCCTCCTCGTGGACGAAGGCGGTCTGGGGGCCTCGAAAGGGGCGTCGCTCCTCCTCTGGCGTTCCTTCTTTCCGCGGCCCAACGGTACATGCGCGCACGGCCTGGTTGAGTTCTGCCCAGAGCCAAGCTGCGGGTGGGTGGCTGGGATGTCTGCTCGAGCACGGGAGGTGGTCACGCGCGGATGCCCACGGCTCGTTGCACCCCATGGATGGCACCGTGCCGCGTGCCAGAACCCGCGGTGGCTTGAGGCCTCTCGTGGGCCGTCTGGGTGCCTTTTGGGGGGCCTCTTGGGGGCCTCTTGGAGCCCCTTGGGCGCCTATTAGGGCCTCCGGGGGGGGGGGGGGGGGCAACGGGGGACGGAAAGCTCGGATGTTCGATTCGTGCTCCCTCCCTTTGGCTCCTCCTGGAGCCGTTTTGGGGGCCCTCTTGGGCCGTCTTCGGTGCCTCTTGGGCCGTCTTGGGGCGCTCGTAGGCCGTCTTGAGGCCCTCATGGAGGCCTCTTGGGCCGTTTTGGGGGTGGTCTTGGGGGCCTCGTGGGACGTCTTGGAGCGTCGGGTTGCCGAAAAGGCGAGAACGACAAAATCTGCCAAAAACCAAATGAAAATGAATGAGGTCTGAATGTTGAGGTCCTCTTGGGAGGCCTCTTCGGGCGTCTTGGAGGCCTCTTGGGCCATCTGGAGGCCTCTTGGGCCATATGGAGGCCATCCTGGGCGCTTTCGAGCGATCGTTTGGCGACTCGGGGCCCTCTTGGACCGTCTTGGGGACCTCCTGGACCGCCATGTAAGCATTGGAGAGCCCCAGTGAGGCGCCATGGCCGCCCAGGAACCCCCCGGGAGTACGGATGTTGCAGTCAGGTGGGTGCTACCGGAGCGGGTGCAGGGTCCCTTAGACGACTACAGGAACCTTGCTAGGCAGCCCTTGACATTCTTCAACGCCTCAACGTGCCGCAGGCACGGTGGCGGATCAAGAACAAGGTGTTCAACGATGTTGCACAGAACTATACGTGGGAAATGTTGTGAAGATTTGAGATTAAAGTTGTGTCACATCTGTTTGACACCGAAGAAGAATAGTATCAACGACGCTGGTCTGATTCATTCGAAGCAGATGTGTCCTCCATATGATCTAGGCATGCGTGTTCAACGCGGCCGCTTAATGTGTTCACTGGCACATGGATGTTAGGGCATGTTCATCCGACACACCTGCTTCACGCATTCACAGGCACATTGGCGACTGGCTTTGCACACCCCGTGCCGATTGCCCCATCTCTCGAACACGCCCCCAACGATATTGATCACGTCACTCTGCCCGATTCGTATGACCTTCGACACGCACGTGCCACCTGTCAGCCGTTTGGGGTTCCAGAGCGCTCGAGACGGGCCAGCACCCGCGCCCCCCGGGCGGTGCCACTCCAACGCTCCAACACAGCCCCCACGCGCTCCGCAGAGAATGGCGCGCTTGCCGCGCGGAGGGCGACCGTGCCACACGCGCGCTCAGGTGGGGGGACAAGAAGGGTACCGATGCCGTTGCTCCACGGACCTCCCGAGGGATGCGCTCTGACCAGAGCTTCGAGGATCGATGCTCCCCATCGGCTACAAGTAAGAGTAACCTTTCGCCGGAGTGACCTCTGGTGCGGCGGAGGAGGAGGAGGAGGAGGAGGCGGAGGAGGGGTAGGAGAAGGAAGGGGAGGAGGAGGCGGAGGAGGCGGAGGAGGGGTAAGAGGAGGAGGAGAAGGAGGAGAAGGAAGAGGAGGAGGAGGAGGAGGGAGGAGGGGGAGTTGTTGGAAGAAGAGGAGGGGAAGGCGGAGAAGGGGCAAGAGGAGGAGGAGGAGGAGGAGGAGGAGGAGGAGGAGGAGACGGAGGAGGAGGACGAGGAGGACGAGTAGGAGGAGAAGGAGGAGGAGGAGGAGGAGAAGGGGGGGTGGAAGAGGAGTAGGAGGAGGAGGCGGTGGTGGCGGAGGAATGCTGCACGCGATGCGTTACCAGCGGCTTCCGTGCTCGGGTCTGGCAGCCCCGTGCCCCCCGGGCAGTCGCGCACCAAAGGGCCACTCCTGCCCGGGGTCACCGCTTGCGTGTAGCCGCACCAAAGAGGGGGGCCCCGGGGCCGCTCCTGCGGCCTATCTTCGCCCGTGGACTTTCACTGCGTCCGTCCTCGTCTCGTCCTCTCTCGATTCGTTCTCCCTCGTCTCGTCCTCTTTTGATTCGCTCTCTCTCTCTTTCTCTCAGCTGCCTCGGTACGCCCGTCTTGACACGCAGCACGTGCCGTGCTCGACACGTCCGCGTCGATACGCTGCGTCTTGGCTCAACGCAGTGGCCCGAGTTTTGGGCGAGCGCGTCGCGTCAGACCTGCGTTTGCAGTCTGCGTGCGGAGCTCCGTATGAATACGCTGCGTGCTGCGTGTGTGCGTATCGGGGCAGCTAAGCTTATGATGCTCCGACTACTTTAGCCTTGATCGTCAGAAAGAACTTCGAGCACCAAGAAAGTACCGAAACTGGAGGGTGTTCACGTGTCGGGCCCTGGGCGGCGATACTCGTTCGACACCGTTTCGATGCTGTTCTGGGTGCTCGGAATCAGTTCTGGGATGTGGTCTCCAAGTACGATGGGAGCAACATAAAGCTGAGCTCTCTCTCTCTCTCCTCTCTCCTCTCTCGCCCTCGACCACAGGGACCACTCTTGCCTGGGGCCACTCTGCTGGCGTGTGGCCGATCCACAAGAGACGCGCGGCAGCCCAGCGCGTGCGTGTGAGTAAGTGGGGGGGGGACTTGCCCCGCTCGGCTCTCCGCCGGGGGGGGGGGGCCGCCCGCAGCCGGTGCGGGCCCGAACATCTGCACACCAGCCGCGTCGTGCCGCAGAGCTGCGGCGGACAAGCACACGCTGGCGCTGACACACGACGACGACGACGACGACGACGACGACGACGACGACGACGACGACGACGACGACGACCGCGACGACGACGACGACGACGATCGGTATCGTTTAACCGATCCCCATCCCCATCCCCATCCCCATCCAGACCCCGAGCATCCTTGCACCCCAGTTGGGGACACACCTCGAAACCCGAAGGGAACGGCCTATATCCCCATCTAGGGAGTCAATCGACCATTGGGGCCCAGGCCACGTTCATTGGGATAGGGGTCGGTTAAACGATGCCCAGACGACGACGGCGACGACGAGGATGACGAGGACGACCAGGACGACGACGACGACGACGACGACGACGACGACGACGACGACGACGGCGACGGCGACGACGACGAGGCTGACACTCTGGAGCCAAAAGCTTCTCCCCGGCCACTACGGCTTGCGAGGACGTGCCAGCCTCTAGGCCTACCAGATGGGGTCCGAGCAGCTGGGGTCGGAGGATCGCGCTGAATCGCCGATGCATCGGCGATGCGGCTCGAAGTGGAGCCCGATGTCCTCCACGCCGACGTCGCCGATGCATCGCCGACGTCGCCGAGGCATCGACGATGCGGCGGCGATCCTCCGACCCCATCTGCTCCGATCCCATCTGGGAGGCGTCTGGTTCTGAGCGTTCTCGAGGGGAGAATCCGGCCGTGGCGACGAGGGATCTCCAGCACGGGGCTCGGCCTAAACGGTGTTGTGGCGATGCCGTGGGCCGCGTTCGCTTCGATCTCGTTTTGCAGCAGAGGCGGATGGGAGACGAAGCGAGGGAAACGAAAAGATAACGAAAACGGTAAACACCGTTCAGGGTTATGATGTTCCAAGCTACTGTAGCCTTTATCGCCAGATTGAATTTCGAGCACCAAGAAAGCACCGAAACGTTAGGGTTTTCACGTGTCGGGCCCTGGGCGGCGATACTCGTTCGACATCGTTTCGATGCTGTTCTGGGTGTTCGGGATAATTTCTGGGATGTGGATTCTAAGTACGATGGGAGCAACAGAAGTTTCGAGCGATCCTTGAGCAGGTCCGCTCAAGGAAAGGAGGAGGAGGAGGAGGAGGAGAAGGAGAAAGAGGGGGAGGAGGAGGAAGAGGAGGAGGAAAAGGAGGAGGAGGAGGAGGAGGAGGCGGCGGCGGAAGGAGGAGGAGGAGGAGGAGGAGGCGGCGGCGGAGGAGGAGAAGGGTGAGGAAAAGGGGTAGTAGTAGTAGTAGTAGTAGTAGTAGTAGTAGTAGTAGTAGTAGTAGTAGTAGTAGTAGTAGTAGTAGTAGTAGTAGTAGTAGTAGTAGTAGTAGTAGTAGTAGTAGTAGTAGTAGTAGTAGTAGTAGTAGTAGTAGTAGTAGTAGTAGTAGTAGTAGTAGTAGTAGTAGTAGTAGTAGTAGTAGTCAGTAGTAGTAGTAGTAGTAGTAGTAGTAGTAGTAGTAGTAGTAGTAGTAGTAGTAGTAGTAGTAGTAGTAGTAGTAGTAGTAGTAGTAGTAGTAGTAGTAGTAGTTAGTAGTAGTAGTAGTTAGTAGTAGTAGTAGTAGTAGTAGTAGTAGTAGTAGTAGTAGTAGTAGTAGTAGTAGTAGTAGTAGTAGTAGTAGTAGTAGTAGTAGTAGTAGTAGTAGTAGTAGTAGTAGTAGTAGTAGTAGTAGTAGTAGTAGTAGTAGTAGTAGTAGTAGTAGTAGTAGTAGTAGTAGTAGTAGTAGTAGTAGTAGTAGTAGTAGTAGTAGTAGTAGTAGTAGTAGTAGTAGTAGTAGTAGTAGTAGTAGTAGTAGTAGTAGTAGTAGTAGTAGTAGTAGTAGTAGTAGTAGTAGTAGTAGTAGTAGTAGTAGTAGTAGTAGTTGTTATAGGAGGAGGAGGAGGAGGAGGCGGAGGAGGAGGAGGAGGAGGAGGAGGAAGAAGCGGAAGCGGAGGCGGAGGCGGAGAAGGAGCAGGAGGAGGAAGAGGACGAGGAGGAGGAGGAGGAGGAGAAGGAGCAGGAGGAGGAGGAGGGGGTGGAGGAAGCGGAGGCGGAGGCGGAGAAGGAGCAGGAGGAGGACGAGGAGGAGGAGGAGGAGGAGGAGAAGGAGGAGGAAGCGGAAGCGGAGGCGGAGGAGGAGGAGGAGAACGAGGGGGAGGAGGAGTGGAGTGGAGTGGAGTGGAGTGGACTCCGCTGCGCAGCAGGTTCGGGTCTTAGGAAGGCCTGGACAAACGAGCATTCGAACGCCGAGCTTGCTCAGCTCGGCTCAGAACTTTGGGATGTAACCCCCGAGCAATTCTGTCAAGGTACTCTTGCCCCGTGGCGGACTTCCTCTTACTACATGGGCCTTTAAGAGATCGCAGAGCCTTATCCGCGATGCCCCCACACTCAGTGCAAAACCAAACCTGAAGGGTCGGGTGAACATTCAGGGTATGCGTAGTGTGGGCCCAACCCCCCGCGATATGGACTCGCGGCCCCTTTAACGGCGAAAACAGGACCCCATCGACATTGTACAGCCTAGGACATTCAGATTCGACGAATTCCTGGGTGGTGGCGAGGGTCGCAGAACCAAAACAAGAGAGGCAACGTCGGCCGCAGTCGGCCAGACGGTGCCTGGACATGAGGGCAGCAACAGTGGCAGCAGCGGGAGGCGGAGGAGGAGGAGGGGCGGGAGGAGGCGGGACCTCAGAGGGGCTCCCAGGGCCTCGGGCGGCGTCCCTTTCCATTCTCTCAGTCTCCTGGCTGGCCGCAATGCTGTCCAGCGTGGCTCGGAGGAGCCTCATGCGGACGAGGTACGCCCTCCGCTCGGCCAGCAGGATGGGTTGGCGGACCTCGGCGGGCAGCCTGGCTCTGGCCGCTGCACAGCCCGCGAACTCGTCGGCGAGCAGGTTGCCTATGACGAGGTACCTGTTCACCTTCTGGGCGGCAACGTCCTGGGCCGTGCTGTGGGACGGCGTCCAGAGCACCGTCACCTCAGCGTGGCGGCGTGAGCTCATCAGGTCCCCGATGAGCTTCCATAGGTCGGCGTCCTCGCCTGCTGGGTTCGTGTAGGCTTGGGAGTACCAGCCCGCCGCCACATATTCACAGTCCGTCACGTAGGTGAGGAACCTGGTGGTGCACCAGAGGGCGAGGTACAGGGAGTAGAGCTCTCCCCTCGCCACCACTTGGCGTGGGCCACCCAGCTGGCCGAAGACTGCACCGTGCAGGTTGATCTCGGGCATTAGGCTGGCAACGCATACTATGGCGACTCCAATCCTCATGAAATCGCTGATGCTCGCATCTGGTCCTCCGCTGGCGTCCCCGAAGATCTCGACTGGTGACTCAGCACTCCCCGCCCCAAAGATCCCTTCGGACAGCTCGTTGATGCCCGTGAACTCAAGGACCGTGTCCTTCGGTGGGGGCGGGGTCTGGGTCCACTGGGTCGGTAGCAGCCCACGTAGCCAGAAACACTCGGTGGCGTCCGTCTGGGCCATCGCGGCTGCAACCAAAGACTCTGAGCGATCATATGGCACGGCCTGCACGTTCTTGCTGCATTGCCAGAATCTGTGCTTGGCCGTCTCTGGTGCCTCTCGGCAGCGGTCACACATGTTGCTGCCCTTATAGCCCTTCAATTCATCATATCGCCTCTGTCGCGTCCAGTATCCACCTGTGGCAATAT